GACAGTTATTTTTGGAGTGCTCTCACAATGGGAGTTGTCCAAAAAGGTTTTTTTCCCTAAGCTTAAATGATTTTCTTATGTCCCTACCTTCTGCACTGTATTCTCACCTCAGAAGAAAAACTGTTGAATGCTTTGTTCCTTATCTTACTCTACCCACACTCCTCTATTCATTTGCTCCTACTTCTTGTTGTGTGCCTTCCAGTCATTTCTGACTTATGGCAGCCCTAAGGTGAACCTATTATAGGTTCTCTGGGGTTCTCTGGGGTTGAGAGTGTGTGGCTTCCTCAAAGTCATCCATTAGGTTTCCATGGGTGAATGAGCATTCAAACGTTGGTCTCCAAAGTCATAGTCCAATGCTCATACCACTACACCACACTAATTCCTTTGCACCTACTTGCCAATTATTATTATTATTATTATTATTATTATTATCCCGCCTCTCCAAACAGACCAAAGCAGCTAATAATAATAAAACAAATGCTTCCAGGTCACTTTCTCACTCTTGCTGAAAAAGAGAAATTCTCCTTGCTTTTGGTTCCCAATTACAATCCTTGTTACCTATTCCTGCCTGCTTCCTTGTTCTTGCCTTGAGAGATTCCTTTGCTGCAGCTGCTCTTGACTTCTAGCAGCCAGTGGAAACCTTCACCTCACCTAGGAAGGATCCTAATTCCTGGCTTCCATCCCAGGACTAACAAAGCTTTGTTTCCATTCCCATAAATGTTATTGTCTATCATACCAATGCCTTCCTTTCTTCTACATCCCTCTCCTTTTTGCTATTGCTAAAGTTCTGTAGCCATAAAATAAATTCATTGTTCACAACAGAAAGAGATGACTGCAAATCACAGCTGGAAGAAACTTCCATCCCCAAGTACAACTAAAATCAATGGGTTATAAATGCATTGTGTTGACTCCTTAAATGTAATATCCTGACCTGAAAATCTTTAGAGACTCTTCAGTGCACATACAGGAAGCCTGTATAAGTGGATTTCTCCATTCAATTCACAGGAGAGATCAGCTCTTTTCACATAAACATACCTCACTTCACTGAATGGAAACTCCCTAATGGGATAGAAGACCTTGGTCAGCCAACTCTACTACATATCATGAAACTATCATTCTAGGTCTTTCTTCAGTTATGCCCATCAGTCTATGTTTTTTATCAGTCTACAGTGTACCTATGGTGCTGCCAAAGATCCCCAATCTTCTTATCCATCTTGGCAACTATCTGTAACTGCCCATGTTGGTCTCATGTCAAGGACTGGAGGCAGCAACTTACATTTGATTATGCTTTTTCACTAACAACATGGGCCTAAAACAAATGGGCAGATGGAAGCAACTTCTGGCAACTCTGGGGGCATGGTGTTTACATCACACACACACACACAGATTGCCCAGAAGCCACCACAGGCTGCCCTGGGGCCACCTAAGGCAGCCCAAAACCAGCCCCAGACGGAGCTGATCTTTTCTGCTCTTTTTGGAACCACAGCAGGAGGCACCCTCAGGGCCATGGCATGTGTTCACTGTAGCCCTAGAGCAATCGGGCTGGGAGCAGCTTCCGGCCACTCCGTCTTGCCCATCTGCTTCACTCCATGGTTGTGTCCCAGGGTCCAGTTCATGGTCCTCATGGCATTCTTCAAGTACAGCATCAGTTCACTAACTGATTCATTTAATTCAGTCCATTTTTTGAGGATTGTATTTTGCTAATGAATCTGATGTCTTTGTAAATAGCAAAGAGATACCATTTAGCATAAGTTAAAATATTATAATGTCTCTAAACAAAGATTCAGCTACCTTTGAAATAAGATATTTGAGAATTTAAAAGAACTTATAACAATGATCTACACTTTTAGTTGTGTCTGTGCCTTCCATTAGAAAGTCAAAGATGAACACAAAATGACCTTGCTGCCAGTTTAGCATTTATTTGCAAACCTATGAATGGTTTCACAATGTCAAAGATTATGAAGAAACGCATATCAAATCTGATATTTTCTAATTTCTTTTGTTTTCAAATAGGAGTAACTGTAGCCAGAAAAGTAATTTTAAATGGAAATGGAAATGAAAATGAAAATGGAGAACAAATGTGATCTAACTGAAAAGAAAAGGAATGCCTTCTGACAGATGATAAAACTCAAAATGTTCTCAAAGAAAGATATGAATGGCAACGGACCTGTTAAATTTCTTCTTTACAGAAATGTTCAATTAACTATAATTGTGTGTAGTCTCATTGAAAACCACTGACAGACTAGGAAAAGTGTACACTGAATGTTTTTAACATTACATTAGAAAATGAGGATTTTTTGCTGTGTTCTTTGTTGGAAGTATTTCATGTGTTTGTATGGTCCACTGACACATGAAGTATTTCATGTGTTGGTCCACTGAAAAAGTGGCTGTCTGAGTTGTGTTAAAGCAAATAATTCTTACCACTTTCAGTGATGCCTCTGGAGGGAGGGGGGTTATAACTTTTTACAGGATACAGTAGGCTTTGTTGACATATGAAAAACCGTTTGTACAATAAAAGGTACAGGGAGCCAAAATGACATAGGTAATTTCATTTTTATTTTTGTCAGTGCCAAAAAGTGCCTCTCATCTGTAGAGGTTTTTTTATACTTCTGGAAAATATGAATTTGTGTTAAATCTGTTAAAGCAATTCCCTTAGGTACTTTTTAGTTGCACAGGCTTATGCTTCTTTTCTGTGCCTCTTTGCCCTCATTGTCCACAGTGTCATTTGCCCTCTGTGCCCTTTAATGTGATTATTGAATTGAGATTGTTTTGTTGGTGATATCATAGTGCAAAATCTGGTGTGATAACAATGACAATACTTGCAGACAAAAATCAGACTTCTGATTAAACAAAAGTAAGGTCAAATGAGGGTAGCAATAATAAAAGCAAAGGAAAAAGGAAAATAAACTGCAGCGAGGGACAAAATCAACCCAAGTGGGGGGGGGGGCATCTTTTCTGGACATGTTTACTCCACTACTGCAAGGATACTGAAAACTATCTACTCTCCAGGCTGACCATCTTACAGCTGTTTAATATATTTTTTTCTCTAGATTTATGAAAACAGGTAACTGAAACAACTAAAACAGGAAAAAAATGGCTACAATGTTTTATTTCAGTGAGCACATATTATTATCACATCCTAATGTTTTATTCATGTAGAGTGATTAACTGTAGGTTCAGAATAACTTTATAAACAGTTGCTTTATCTAGGAAGAATAGCCTTTGCTAGGACTATCTCTTTCCATGCCTAAAATATTCATACTCATAGTCTGAATGTTACTTTTTAAAAAGTGGTTAATTGCTGTTATATTCCCAATGTGCAAAAAAAAAAAAAGAGTTAGATGTCATTATAATTACAGTTTTTTTAAAAGTAACTATTTTCATGTTTCCCCAGAATAAGTAGAACACAAATGGCAGCTGGTGGGTCTATTGTCAGTGGGATGGTGAATCTGCTCCTTGCAGAACTTCGAAGTTGCTGAACTCTGTCTATAAAGTTATTTCAGCACCACATATAATTCCTTTGAAATCATGTTTGGAAGGAACTTGGGGCAGTTTTATATTTTTAACTTTATTGGATCAAACATTGATCAGACTGGGAACTGCAGCCAATAAATCAGAGGAAGACTAAGAATGGGGAGGGCAGCTATGAAAGAACTAGAAAAGATCCTAAAGAGCAAAGATATTCAACTTAGGGTCATTGTCTGGGCAGCTTCGGAGTGCGGCATTTTGGCACCACACATCCTGAAGCCACCCTGAAGCTTCTCTGGTCAATTACATGTGGGCAACTTTCAGGCGCTCTGGCAGCATGGTGTTTATACACCGCATAAACTCTGGAGCATCTTAAAGCTGGCTTCCAGCCATGGCAGGACAGGAAAAGCCAGCTTTTTGCTGGCCAGGAAAGGAACAGCTCTTTGCTGCTCCTTTTTCAGACAGCTTCAAGGCAGATTGGGGCTGCAGTTTGTGGTTGCTCTGGCCTCAATCTGTCTTTGGAAGGGGCAGCTTCAAGCTGCCCCTTCAGGGTCATCTGTTTCAGCTCTAAGCATGAAAGTTAGAATCATACAAGCCATTTGTATGATTAATTAGAATCATACAAGCCATTACCATCTATGGATGTGAGAGCTGGACAATTAAGAAAGTGGATAAGAAGAAAAACAATTCATTTGAGATGTGATTCTGGAGAAGAGTATTGAGGATATTATGAACAACCAAAAAGACAAACAGATGGGCCCTTGAACACATCAAGGCACAAATTTCCCTGGAAACCAAGATGATAGCCTGCCCCTGATGTTCGCTACAACCATTTTAAATTACTTGGTATTCGTAATTTTTAAGTATGTTTTTATATTTTTTCTGTTTAATTGCATTTTAAGGGGGGTGGGCTATTGGGGGAAGGGAGTGTTTGTTTTATTTTGTAAGCCACCTCGATTGTTTTTACAGAGAGGTGGGATATAAATAAATTTTATTATTATTATTATTATTATTATTATTATTATTATTATTATTATTAAGTTGAGGTGATCATATTTTGGCAACATCATAAGAACACACTATACATTGGAAAAGACAATAATGCTAGGAAATTTGGAGGGAAGCAGAAAGAGAGGAAGAGCACATGGCAGATGGATGGACTCTATTAAGGAGGTCATGGGTATGAATTTGCAGAAACTAAGCAGAGCTATGGAGAGTACAGAGTATTGAAAATGTCTCACACACAAAGTCATCATGAATCAAGGTCTACTTGGAGGTGGTTAACAACAACAAAACAAAATAATTTGCTTCACTGTTCAAATAACAAGCAATAAGGTGCTTTCTAAAAGAAAAGACTAAAGAATTTGTTGTTGTTGTTGTTGTGTGCCTTCAAGTCATTTTTGACTTATGGTGAACCTAAGGCAAACCTATCACAGGGTTTTCTTGGCATGTTCCTTCAGAGAAGGTTTAGCATTGCTCTCCTCTGAGGCTGAGCGAGTGTGACTTGCCCAAGATCAACTGGTAGGTCTTTATGCTTGAGTGAGGAATCTAACTCTGATCTCTGGAGTCCTAGTCCAACACTCAAACCACTGCACCACACTGGCTAAAGAAGAACAAATTTTATTGTAATAACATTCCAAAGTCTTCTTTTTAACATACACACACATGAAACAGCATGTGGATCAGCATATCAACAAATGTAATAATGTAATATTCCTCCTTTACAATTTAGTGAAGCCACACACAAAACTGTAAAAGTAATTAAATGTTCAGTTATACTGAAAAAGAAAAAGAAAGATTGTCCCATGATAAGTTACAGTTGTAATGTAAATTGGGTATATATTTGTTGTACAAGAAAGAAATCAGTTACTAGTAACTCACCATTTGTAATTAAGTACTTTGAAGTTCTGCTAAGACAGAAATATCTTTTGAATTATGGCTTTTTATCAACAATTTTAACAGTTACAGCTTCTATCAATAGTGCATGATAAAAATACTAAACTTCACAAGCTCACAATTGCAGATTAATTTTTAGTAGAACTAATTTATTCAATGGAAATAACAGACAGTTTTCTTTGATAACTGTAGTAAGGATGAAGTGTACATGGGGTTTTAATTCCTTCAAAATGCATGCAGTGATTATTTACAAACAAGAAACCATTTGTGGAATGATTCTACCTTCTGTTCACCATAATGTTGACGTAAACCTGAAGTAACCTCATTAACATCAATAGAATTAATTAATTTTCATTTGGTTATTGTTAACTGGATAGAAAAAAATGCAGAATGCATACATTTAATAGATTTTAAATTTACAATACATTAAAACTTAAATTTCAACTAACATATTAGGAAGGGAATATATTATTAGTCTTGTCTCAAATTCCTTTTTGGTTGTGTTGATGGTCAGCTGCCTAATACACCCAGATGACTTCCAGCAATCTCTGAGTGGGTTGAAGTAGTCAGAGGGCAAATGCCATTTCCAAACCTCTGCCAGTCCACTGCACTCATGGCAAGAAGCAAGAATAGCTTTTTGTCATACCAAGAAAAGAGAGGAACACATCAGATGCTCCCCATTTCATATGCAGTTCTCATTGTTACTGAGCTGTCCTGGAAATACATTGCTGCAAAGCTACTCTCAAATGACCAAAAAGGAAGCATCAGATTTGGCCTACCTTAGAGACAGAAAACAGAAACCCACTTTTTTGTCTTGTGTAAAATTTTATTGCACACATACTTTCCCATTGCAAGCAGCAGTGTGTTGAGCTGTTCTCCCAGATTCATTTGTTGTTGTTGTTTTTTAATTTTAAATTATTTCAATCCCTTTTTGTGGAGAAATTTGAAAACTTGAGAAATTTTGACAAGTCCTCTTGAAAAATGGACTGAAAGAAAAAAGACTGGGCTGGACAAATTCAGTAGCTGCAACTATTCTTTGCATGAATAGATCTAGATTTGCTGCCTGCTGTGTATCAGCTGAAGTTGTTTTGTATAGTCTATTTTGGGTGGCAACAGTGGCATCACTAGGGTTGGTGTCACTCACTGCAGTAACTCATGTCTCATTTACACTTACAAATAAATCAGTTTGAAATCCAAATCGATGGATCAGTTCGACAGTGGAGTGTGGTTCACACTACATTTGGC